AGAATGATAGAATTCTGCACAATCAGTGATTTATTTATTGCAAATACCATTTCTAAGAAATATATAAATGTTGACTATACACATGGATTTTACCTGATGATGATATGCACAAGAATCAGATATATCATTATCTGTGTAAAAAATTGTTGGTAAAGCTTAATATCAGCAATAAAAACTAGGTCAGGTGCTAAGTGTTTAAAAGATTAAGATTCCTAAATGCAGTCCCCCAGCTATGGTGCAAACCCACGTGTGCACCATCCAGCTGGGGTGCTCCTCATCTGTTCCCCAGGGGTCTTTGTGGAGATGAGAATATGCAGGTCATGTGATCCTCTGCCTTTTGCTAACATCCAGGATATCATAGCAGCATAGTTTGTTAGCCTGCAAGGAGAGTCAAAATCGCAGGCTCTTTACAACTTTAAAACAAAAGGCCAAAATAATAAAATTTTGTAGAATAAAAGGATTTGTCTCCATCTCTCTAAAGCAATATTAGTTAAATGAGCAAATATGTACTATCTTTTAAAGTTTGTCACAAAGGGTCTTAATGTTTCCAGCCACAAAACTTAAAAGCAAACTTAATATATAAAAGGATACAAGTAGGAAAGATAAAGTTTAGAAAGAATAAAGATTAAAAAGTGGTAATCCTGGAAGGTGGAGATAAAAAGAAATCATAAATCATTCCTGTAATCTTGCTTATCAGTCCTACCTAAAGGCACCAGTATTTATTGTTCTTCACAGGTATTGAACCTTTAAACATTATAGCCGAGTCGCCCTCTACTGGAACCAGGTGGGAAACTACAGAGGAAGGGCTCTCCATGGGATCCGCTTACATCTATGTAATATTGTTGCTAAAGTCCAGTGTAAACCTTGGGTGTGTGTAGAGGTAAGTGGAGAACAACTTCCATTGCAAACAGAGCCTGACAGTTCAATTCTGAAGACAAGGCAGCGCTTCCTCTTAGAATCCTTCCCACACTAATTTTTATTTACAGTAGCCACTGGTTGCAGGAAACCCTACTTTGCTCCAAGTGCCAGCAAGTCATCCCTAACATCTATATCCTCAGTGGCTCGCTTCCATTCCATGTCAACAGTTCTTTAGGGCAGCTGCTCAGAATCCCACCACCAAACCTACTCAGCTCCATCTCAGAAGACTCCGTTGCCCCTGAGAGCAACAATAGAGCTGACAGGGTAAACACCAACATTCCAGCCCGGCAAAGTAGACCAGTATGTGATCTCAACATTACAAACCAAGCAATCCGTATGTTTTAACCACATCCTGAAATCAAAAGAAAAATATAATGCATCAATAAATGTATTATTTATTTATAAATTATATGTGTACAATTGTGCAATATATTATATACATTATAAAACACACAAAAATAGAAATTTAAAGGGATGAGATTAAATACAAATTACCATTTAAACATTTTCCCAGTGGACTGAAACCTGGGATAAATACACTCCCTCCCTCCCCACCCTAAGTCACTGCCCCTAAAGCACGCCAATGATTACCATATTTGGATTTTTAGCTCAGGTTGCAGAAAAATGTACACAGTTAAGTTTCCCACCCCTACCCTCCTTTCAGCCTTGTAAAATAGCCCCAGCATCAAGTTTAAATGTGTGAGCAAGCTTGAGGCTAACTTTTGGAGACCTACTTGAACTAATCTCTACATAGCTGGTGTCACGGTATGGTTCACTGATAGTTGTTAGACTTTAAGGCAGACTAAGTAGATTATGGAGCTGAGGCAGAATACTTGGAAGAAAATGCTTATTCTAAAGAAACATTTAAAAACAAAAGATGAGGACTGGCTTACTAAAAAAAAAAAAAAGCACCTGAAAAAAAAAGTTAACTCTTTTGAGTACAGTGAAAAGGCAAGGGATGGAAAAAGGCCATTAGCCAAGGCAAGTGGTTTAAAATGTCCTATCTTCCCTCATACCACAATGAGACCTTAAAAATTCAGTTTTAATTTTTATAGCCCCAGAGTCCTATCACAGAGCCAGACATATAGAAACTCAGAATGTGATGAACTCCTCCTCAAAAAACATGCAAGGTGCTAAATTACACTTGAAATGCGTTTTGACTAAAGAAAACTCGCCTCTGATTTTGATTAGCTGAAATAAAGAACTGGTTCAATGTGGTAAGAGCGCCTCACTCCATTCCTAGAACACACCCTTTCATTTCCCAACACACCCATCATTAGGGACTCACCCCTTTAATTCTACCGAGGGGCTGAGCTGCCCCCCACTCACTCAGAGGCCTGCCCTTCTCAACCTCTTTCAGCAAGATGGAAGAAGTGGACTACAAGATTTTAAGCTATTAAAAATATTTTTCAATGTGCTCCTTAAAGTCTTTAAAGTTTTTTTTTAAAAAAATAAAGGGACAGAAACATTTGATACTAAGATATGCATATGGAAAACATTTTAGAGCTTAAAATCATTAAGTTTTACAATACTAAAGTTTAAAACAGCTATATTTTCAACTGTGCAGCTAAGTCTCCTAATGGAAGGCTATTTTGTGATACAGTAGTTATTTCATCAATTTAGAGGTAAAAATGTTCTACAACTTAAGTAACTTTAAGTTGCCAGTTTCACTTTGTATTGCACATAATTAGCATTTTTATCAACTACATCTGTTGACAACATTTTACTGTTTATTCATGAAGATAAAGTTGGAACTTCCCTCAGTAAGTTTCCAACAGACTAAAAGTAAACCAGGGTAAATGACTGAGTCTATCACAGAGAAAAAAAGGGAAGGATGCCAAGTTCATTAATCTGCTAGAGAGATAAACTGAGGGAGGCCTCAGTCTCTCCATTACCATGATATGGGACAAGGTACTTAAAAGTACATATTTAGAGGTTAGGACGTATCCACACTTCCCAGAGAGGGCAAAGAAAAACTTCCTACAAATAACAGGCTGTGGCACCAATTTTCTAATGTCTAGCAGATACTACTTTTTAAGAATGGTTGTGAATTATTAGGTTGTGAAGTCATCCTGTCCAGATGTCCCAAAAACCAGAAGCAGCCAATTGCTTGAAAGAACCCATCAAAACGCATTAAAATAAAACACCTGCTTAGGAAAGAACAATTCTACCTGAAAGATACCTATCAAGAAAACGAAAGAATTGTTATTGGGGGGTTTTGTTTCATTTTTAAAGGAAATTTTTGACATTTCGACTTTATGCCACAGATAGGTTTTCTTTGACATTTCCTTTCACTTGATTCAAGAAGACTAGCAACTCTCTTCTCCCATACTAATGTGGCTAACAGCTGCCTTAATGTAAACTGGAGTTGTAAAGCTTTAAAACTTTTTTGTTTTTAAAATTAAACCCTCCCCTCTGGTAAGGAGTGGCATTGACAACTCAAAGGAACATGGATCAAATCTATCAGCAGCTCTGCAGGAGAAATATTTCTCTCACGCAATTGCTTCAGAAAACCTGCTGGAGGGTTAGCTATGGGTCTGTTCCAACTAGATGGTACCCACCAACTGCTTCTAAAATGAATCAAATAAAAATCTTCAATAGCCCCTTGCTTGCCAAAGAAAGGTTTAGCTAATAACTTTCAAAAGACAAAGCTAGGTTCCAAGCAAACAATTTGCTTTGACCATTTGAGGGGAATTATTTCATCCCAAATTTAGAACCAAGAAAAATCATTCATGTTTCAGTAACTTTTAAGTTTTATTTCCAACTACTCCAATAACAAAATATGATTAATTCTGAATGTAAATTGGCAACCTTTTATGTAAATAAGGTCACAAATTAGTATTCCAACATTACTTTAGTCTATGGATGTTCTGATAGGATTATCACAATCAGTTCTGTATTACAGGTTTATGCCTCCTTAACATCTAGTAATAAAATATTCAACTTGCCTCAATGGCTTATCATGTACACATTTCTGCTCCTTAGAAAGTATTCTTCTGGGTTGTACTATGGTGAGGGGACTATGAGTAGGTTTATCTACACTAGCCAGAAATAACAGTCACTTCAGTAGTAATGTAGTAAATGACTAAATTTTTAATTGAAAAATAAAATGCTAGATCGCATTATTTATGTCCTTCCTCTGGGAGTAAAAAGACACACCATTACAAACAAAATGAGTCAAACTTCCTTTTTATTGACAGGAGTCCAAAATGAATACAAAAATGCCTCCTTTGCATGTTTTTTTTTGTTGTTTTTTTTTTCCTTTTCCCCTAAAGGCTTCTGATAAGAGTCAGGTAGATTAAAAGCTAAGAATGTGTTTCAGCTTTTATAGTGAACCTTTTTAAAAAGGCTTACTAACATAAGTCACCAACATCAGTGAACATATATGGTCCCATAATAATTTTTAGACCAGTAGCCTATCAAAGAAAAAGACCCTGCACTAATCTGCTAAAATAAAGGCTTAAAAATGTTCTAAGCCATTAGAAGTCATTTTTACAATCTGAATGATAACTCTGGGAAAATAAGAAAATTACCAAAACGTAGCCCTCTGTTATTATATGGAATGTGAAAGAATGCCAATTGATGAATAAGTAAAAATAAAAATTTGAAAGACACGGATCAAGCTGTTACAAATATTTTTATATTACAGCAAAATGTCAAGAAATGAATGATAGGACTCATCAAGAGGTTAAAAACTTGAGCAGCTATTACTTAAAACACACTTGTAGTTTTTATCATCCTTTACTTTTTTTTAATAAAACTAAAGCTGAATGAAGAAATATGTTGCTTGCTTAAAAGTTGTTTTTCATGTACCTTTACTTTTACTGGGACCATAAATTGATCAGATAATACATAGCCCACACTTCTAGACAGGTATAACAAAGAATTTATTATTTGCAGATGAAATAAATGCACCATCTCATACTTGGAAGGCTTTAACAAGCCTTAAGCATTTTTCAGGTTGTACCAAGGCACCACCGCTGCCTAATTATGAATCCACTTCTAACAAAGAAACTAACACTTTCCTCATCATCAGTTCTGCACTGCTTCTGGTTTATTATACAATTCCAAAACAGCACTCTTTAGTCATCATCTTCCTCCTCTTCTTCCTCCTCTTCAAAGCTATCTTCAAAGCCCTCACTGTCCTCCTGGTCTTCATCTCCTTCTATTGTTGTGTCCCATTGTGGATGATTTTCTGGCACAGGCTTAGCCTCATGAACTTCCAACTATAAAGAAGGAGGAAATATAAGTATCAGAAATTTGAGGAAAAATGATGGAAGAAATAAATAGTAACTATGAGGTTTTCTTTGATCACACAATTACAAAGACGTAGATGTTATGGATAGAATTCAAATTTACTTATTTGGAATAGACTTTTCATCCCCAAAACATAACAGGTAAATTTACAAACACATAATTAAACTTCTAATACAGCTTAGTATTCAGATTTTATAGAAATTGTGCTCTTTTGAATATATATGCTGTGGCAAAAACCATTTTGATTCTAAAGCAAGAACAGTGTATTGTGCTTTTTGACTGAAGGGGGAAAACTGTGGTGGAACTTTCAGAAAGATGCACACCCCTCAAACTCAAGAAGTAAAACTCTTATCTTGCCAATGAACAGAAATGTGGTATCTTCATGGTAAAAATAAATGGTTCCTTTTACTCTGGGACTCCAGAGCATACAGCAAGAGAACTCTCAATCTCTACAGCATATTAAGAGAACATGTTCTGCAGCATAATCAAAAAAGTCATTGATATAAAAAGTTCAAATAAAAAGGTAAAAAAGGTAGCTTTGCGCAGTGGCAATATCGTAGCCAATGAGGTTTACCCGAGGCGCGATTATTGCTAATTGAAAAGAAAAAAAAAAAAAAAAAGGTAAAAAAGGTAAACAATGGCAGTGTGGTACAAATGACACCAAGAAAAACACATTAGATCTGAAATTTAATAAATAATCCAACACATGATAGATATGGAGGGTGGGGAATATATGTCCCTTCCTAACTCAAAAGGAATTATCTGTTAAGCACTTTGTGACATTTTTTTCCTTTTAATTGTACTATTTTTACTGTACCGTCAAATCAGATTTGACTGGTACAGGAGGAGATTGCCCCCTCCTTCTCCAGCAGAGCATCTGGTGGATTTGAACCGCGTATCTCTGGGACTGCAGTGCAGCGTCTTGCCAATAGGCCACCAGAGCTCCCACTGTGTGACATTTACAGCATAACTTTTTAATAAAAAAATACCCACTGCTGTCAAGTCTGTTCCAACTCATAATGACCCTCCACTAGGTTTTCAAAGCAGCCCGTCATGCTCCCTCACAGGTGATAGTGATGTCATTTAAGGAATTTCTATTTAAGCCTAAAATTACTATACTCCTAAAGCTGTAACTTGAGCACGTCATTTATAAACTACTAGCTTAACTCTATTTCCTACTCTCTAAATTCCAAAACTAGAGATGTTTCTCTAATATAAAAAAAAAACCCTCCCTTGTCATCAAGTCAGTTCCTACCCACAGCAACCCCAAATTGGGTTTCCATGGCTGTGAATCTTAATGAAGGAGAGACTGCCCATCTTTCTTCCTCGGAGCTGCTGTGGATTTAAACTGCAGAGACACATGACCATCTGGTAAGCAGCTCCACAATCTACAGACTGTATAAGCATTTACTCAGACAGACAACCATATATTTACTGAAAAGTCATTATTCTTACCTTCAATGGTTTAATCTGATCCAAACCCATATAGGAGTCTGATCTCAGAAACACTGTATACTGATAATTTCCAGGTTTGCCTGGTGCAGGGAACTTTAATTCTACCTAGAAGATAAAATCAGCACTTGAAATCTGTACTTTGAAGGAATAAAAGGAAAGAGAAATAGCTCTTACCTAAAATTCTGAGATCAAATAATTTCATAGCTAGGTGTTTACTCCGATGGCACACGGAATCCAAACGTTACAACAAATATTATAAAAGTCATTAACAATTTTGTGTGTGTGTGTGTGTGTGTGTGTGTGTGTGTGCATGTGTCTTTCACAAAAGAAATTAATGTAAGGTATTTAAAAGTATATAATCTCACTTGGACAAAGGAAGAATAAATTGAGAAAACTAACTTCAGATGTTCTGGTGCTCACCTTCCATTCTCCAACTTCTGATTTTGTAGTAAAGATTTTATATTAATATAATAACATTATTAAAATAATCTCATAGTTTGAAACTTTTAAACTATGACACAAAATTAAGACATAAAAATTTACTAAATTATAGTAGATAAGTTTGTACTTATATTTCTGACAGGAAAAAGCCACTATAATAACAGTAAAACATTTTTATCTTGCTCACCAAAAAGCGGATTCCCTAATAAAAGACGATTTATCCTCAAGTCAACAACAAAAAAAACTAGTCAAAAACGAAGTATGACTCAAACACATTGAAAGATGCTCAGTTTTGCTTTTAAGAGAAATACAACACCCATGTTTATCGCAGCTCTGTTCACAATAGCAAGGAGTTGGAAACAACCCAGGTGCCCATCAACAAACGAATGGGTAGAGAAGCTGTGGTATATTCACACAATGGAATACTATGCTGCATTGAAAAACAAGGAACTCATGCAATATTATTCAAAATGGGTGAGCCTGGAGGACATTATGCTGAGTGAAATATCTCAGTCGCAAAAGGACAAATATTGCATGGTGCGACTGCTGTGAAATGGGACTGATAATCAGGGTGGGGGTAAGACTGAGAAAAACTGGATAAATTGCATATACTGCACTGAAACAGATGAGGGAGTGAATAATTTAAAAGAGATGTATAATAGGGTATTATGGTTATCACAGGAGTCCACAATTAAGGTTGCATAGTGGAATGTACTTGGGGCGGTGGGAGGGGTGCGGGGGGATTGTGTACCAGGGAGGGAGTCTTATATTTTTGAAAGAGAGGAGCGAACTAGGGGGCGTGGGGAGAGGGCTGGGCGGGGAGAGAAGTGCAGCAATGAATGAATGGAAATCCAAAGTCTCTGCAAATGTGCATTAAAATTATTTAAAAAAATAAAATTAAATTAAAAAAGGAGAAATACAAAAGCAAAAGCATACCAAATATAACCAGCACAGTAAAAACTGATTGAGAAAGAATGTATGTTAACATGATTAGATTATAATTGCTAAAAGACTGGATATCCATAGACAATCAATGTTCAAGTATCATCCCATTGGTTAGGAAAAAGTACTTTTATAAAGATAAAAACTTTAAGTGATAATCTGAGTGGGTTTCCCACCCCCCCAAGACAAACACATTAATAATTAAACGAACCTAATGAGGAGAAAAATTATACACCATGCTAAAATAAGACTAAACTCCAAAAAGCGGAGAAGATATATACTTGGAGGCACTAACAAGTAAAAACTTTCTCAAAATACAGAGGACAAGTTTTTTAAAAGCTGAGTCATCTTTGACAAATCAATATTTTATAAATTTCTAGTAAGTACACACACACACACACACACACACACACACACAAAATCAGAGAACAGTTATAAAATATTCTAATAAGTACAATTACCTCTTCAGTATCTTTTAGTGTACACACATGATATGGCATAGATATTAAGGTCTGTTCCTTCCTGTCAGCAATATAAAGCCACCACCATTCTTGCTTTTCCTAAAAAGAAAAAGTATATAAATAATTGGAATGAAGCAGTCCCCACTCACACTATAAAAAAGGTTTAATGTGTGTCTATATAGCATATGAAACAGGACGGTAAGTGTAGGGCAGTGAGACGTACACTACAACAAAGAGTTCACACGGCTCCCACTGGCAATGTAGGGCCCCTCCTCCTTCCCGTAAACGACACTATTAACCTTGTTTACTGGTATACAGCTAGCACTGATACACTACCTGGGATCAAAATATGTATTCAATAAATACACATGAACAAACAAATCATTCCTATCTGCAGACCTACTCCCTAAAAGAACTTCACATCCACTTTAAAAAAAAAAAAAAAAAAAGAAAAAAAGGACTTCAGATCCACTTTTAGAGGTTTTGACGTTCCTGTAAAGGATACGAGCAGTTCTCCATATAAAAGCTCTTTATTTATACTAATTGAGTGATAATATATTTTAGGAACAATATAAACTATTAAAACTTAATCCAGCAAATAATTTTACAAATAATACCTAGTAATAAGCAAAGTAAGAAAGTAAGAGCAGAAAGCACTTAAGTAGCCAGATCAGAATTAGATAAAAATACTTTTATTCATAAAAGAACATTTTGATTATAGGAGTCTATTTATACCTTTCACTGCACATGATTAGTCTCCAAAAAATTGTTGTTGTTGTTATGTGCCATCCAGTCGCTTGCCACTCATAGCTACCCCATGTACAACAGCCTTGAAACCTGCTCTATCCTGTGCCAACTTTACTGTCTCTGACACACCCACCCTCATTACTGGTCACTGAACCAGTCCATCCCGTGGAGGGTCTTCCTCTCTTTCTCTGTCCCTCCACACTTCTAAGCATTTAGAAAACAGAAAAAAAGGCTCAGTAAAAGAACTGCCAACAGAACATAGAATAGAGAGGAATAACAAGACACAAAAAACTATTTACAGACCTTTCTATCTTCTTGAAGAATAAACTTGATAGAATTGTGATTTTCACAAAAAATGCATTTTTTTTAAATTAAATAGTTAGGAAGCCAAGTTATTAAGATGCACTAAATGACAGTGTACTCAAACCACTACTGTACTACACATGGCTGTAACTATATAGTTGTCTGTTTAGTATCCTCTGCTTAAGAATAATGTAGAGAAAAAAGATAAATAACATAGCATAACATATAGCTTGCCTCCCGAAACCCTATAAACCTGGAGAGAGAGAGGATGAAAGACACCCAAGCATTGAGAACTCTCCTTCATAGGGGTCACTATGAGTCGCCTGCGACTCGATGGCACTTAACAACAATAATATCAACATAGAGAGAAAGAGATCAGCTGGCCTAGTGGACAGAAAGCAATACTACCAAGCCAAAGGTGGGTGACATTTAATCCGTGGCCCTCGGGCCTGTCTTTGTTTTCATTCAGATATTCCTCTAGGTCATATATCCCTGGTGTACAAGTTGCCGTACAGCGGTCACTTGTGGTTGCCGTGAAGCTGAACACTGTGATACTGATGTGTCAAATGCATTAATGGCTGGATACCCAATGTGGACAGAGTGGGGTGTAGCTCCCCGATTAAAACAAGCTTGGAAGCAGGAGTGGCATCCACTTCTGTAATAGCTTCCCTCTGGAAACCCTATGAACCCGGAGAGAGGATGAAAGACACCCAAGTGTTGAGGACTCTCATTCATAGGGTCACCATGAGTCGCCTGTGACTCGAAGGCACTTAACAACAACAACAACAACATACGGTTCAGTGTGCACAGCTCCTTGTCCCACCAGTTTAGAGTGCCCCCTCTATACTTCTGGGGCTGCTTTTTAGTGCATTTTCCCCTTCCTTTGCTACCACAGGAGGTATGGACACTGGGAAGGCTGAAACCCTCTGCCCTGCCGCCCACCCACCCTCCCGACCGACCTGGTGGTGAAAAACCTCATGGTTTCCTCCTCATGTAGTATATGTTTTATTTCTTTATTTTTTTTGTTATTAAAAAAAAAAAAAAAGGTGGAGGAACAGTGCAGGAGAGGAAAACCCCAGATAAGAGGGACCGACACACTCACTGGGCTAATCAGGGTTGGAGATAGTGAGTCTGGCTCAGGATAGGGCAGGGTTCAGAGCTGTTGAACATATGGTCTCTGTAAGTTGAAGGCAACTCGATATCACATAACAACAATAACATATGGTTAATGAATGAAAAATGGCTTTAAGTATTTTGGTGCTAAAAGTAAACTCCAGGATATTCTAAATACCCATTTAACTAAAACAACTATTTTAAATTCTCAATTATCTAAATCGCTAATATTTTTAATGAAAAACAGTTTAATAGGGACAATGCACTTTTCTATTTTAACTAGAGGTTAAAATTTCATTTAAATCTTTCTAATCATGCTACATCCAATGAAACCAAAACTTTTTGTTTCAATGTCTTATGTTACAAAGCACTGCAACATCAATATTGTTGTGTGCCATCAAGTCAACTACCACTCATAGGGACCCCAGGAATAACAGATGTGACTCCTGCTCTATCCTATTCTCCTGACATCTGATCTGTTCAAGCCAGCTGTTACAGTTACCATGTGAATCCATCTTGTTGAGGATCTCTCATTCTCTAACACTAATAGGATGATGTCTTTTTCCAAGTACTGGTCCCTTCTGACTACATGCCCATAGGAAATGAAACCAAATTTCACCATCCTTGCCTCACTGGTTGCACTTCTTCCAGGATGTTGTTGTTGTTGTTGTTATGTGCCGTAGAGTCGTTTGCGACTCATAGCGACCCTATGTACAACAGCCCTAAACCCTGCTCTATCCTGTGCCAATCTCACTGCCTCTGACACACCCATCCTGAGTACCCCAGTCACTGAATCAATCCACCTCATAGAGGGTCTTCCCCTCCTGCGCTGTCCCTCCACTCTACCCAGCATGGTGTCCCTCTCTAAAGACCTGTCTCTTCTTACAACATGTCCAAAGTATGTCAGACGAAGCCCCAGAATCCTTGCCTCCAAGGAGCAGCCCAGTTTAATCCTCTCTACAATGAATCTGTTTGCTTTCTTGGCAGTCCATGGTACATTCAATACTCTTCTCCAGCACCACAGCTCAAAGGAGTCAATTCTCCTTCTATCCTCCCTAGCCACTGTCCAACTCTCTGATGCATAACAAGTGATTGCAAAAACCATGGCCTGTATCAGGCAGACCTTAGTCTCCAGAGAGACACTGTTGCTCTTGAGTATTTGAGAGGTCCCTAACCACAGACTTTCCCATCATGATACGTTTTTTGATTTCCTGGCTACTCGTGCCAAGAGTGTTGACCGTGGAGCCGAGCAAACTGAAGCTGTGAACAATCTCAATCTCTTCGCCATCAATCATGATGCTACCGACTGGTCCAGTGGTGAGAATTTTTGTCTTCTTGACATTGAGCCTCAGTCCATATTGAAGGCTGCAGTCCTTGACCCTCTGCAGTAAGTGCACGAGGTCCTCCTCAGTTTCAGCGAGCAAGGTTGTGTCATCTGCATAACGCAGACTGTTGATAGATCGTCCACCAATCCTAACGCCACGCTTCTCCTCATAGAGCCCAGCCTCTCGGATAATCTGCTCTGCATACATGCTGAAAAGGTATGGAGACAGGACACATCCCTGGCGTACACCCTTCCCAATTTTGAGCCATGCAGTGTTGCCCTGCTCTGTTCTGACTACTGCCTCTTGGTCCAAGTATAGGTTTCGCATTAGCACGATTAAATGTTCTGGGATTCCCATTCTTCTCAGCATCAGCCACAGTTTGTTATGATCCATGCAGTCAAATGCCTTTGCATAATCAATGAAACACAGATAGACATTCTTCTGGTATTCTCTGCTTTCAGCTAAGATCCGTTCCCATCCCAAAGAAGGGCGACCCAACTGAGTGTGGAAACTACCGAACAATATCATTGATTTCACATGCAAGCAAGATTCTCCTGAAGATTATCCAAAAATGACTGGAACAGTACATCAGCAGAGAACTGTCAGAAGTCCAGGCTGGGTTTAGAAGGGGTCGTGGTACTAGAGATATTGTAGCTGATGTTAGATGGATCTTCCAGGATAGACGTGTTTATTCTTTTGGTAATCCATCAGTACTCTGTCCACTATCACATTTAAAAGACATCAATTCTTCTGTCGTTGTTATTCACTGTCCAACTTTCAGATGCATAGAAAGCAACTGAAAATACTATAGATTAGATCAGACACATTTAACATGTTGCCATACACTTATAAATTGACGACCGTGCTTATAGCCATCATTTGCGGCAATGTGTTAAACAAAATCAGGCGCCTTTAAACAAAAATTTAGTATTCTGGAGAGGTCCCTGACAGCAGATTTTTCCAATGCAAACCTTTTTTTTTTTTTTTTAAATTTATTTTTTTTTATTATTCCCTTGACAGCTGTTGTCATGAGTATTCATTGTGAATCCAAGTAACTAACATAAAATTGTTGACAACTTCAATCTTTCCTCCACTTATCATGTTGCCTATTGGCCCAGTAGTGAGAATTTTTGTTTTCTTGATGTTGAGATATAATCCATATTGAAGACTGTAGTCTTTGATCATCTCCAAGTGTTTCAAGTTGTCTTAACTTCCTACAAACATCTTTGCTTAATACAAGATGTTAAGTTTTCCTTCAAACCTGATGCCGCATTCTTCATCCTAAAGCCCATTTTCTCTAATGATTTGCTCAGCATAGAGTAAGGATTGAGAAAGGATACAACCTCAATGCATTCTGCTCATTTTAAACCATGCAGTGTTTCACTTGCTATGTTCAGAAAACAAAAGCCTCTTCCTGGTCTAGGTATAGATTCTCATTCTTCTCAATGCTAATCATGATTTGTTTTGATCAATACAATAAAAAATGTCTTTGCACAGCCAAGAAAACACAGATAGGAATTCTTCTTGTATTTTCTGCTTTCGGCCAGGATTCACTTGACATTAGCAATGATTTTCCTATGTCATGGCCTCTTCTGAATTAATTTTGAATTT